GTAAATATTAGAAAGGGGGGGAAATGGGGAGCTGCTGCACACAGAAGGTTTTTTAGCTTCACATTGAGCCTTTACAACCACTTTAACTGAACAAGCTGAAGTTAGAAGCTGATTGATTATCCCAGCGCTGGATCACAATGGGGCTCAGGTAAATATTAGGAAAGGATGGGGGGGGGGCTGCTGCATGCAGAAGGTTCTTTTCCTTCATGCATAGAATGCATGAAGGTAAAAAAACCTTGAGCCTTGACAACCACTTTTAACTGTTCAGGAGTGTGTAACGAACAGTACAGCTTACAAAGTACAGTAGTCAGATAGTTTATGTATGGCTCCCTTACATTGGTGGTTGTTGCAGTACCCTCCTAATTTTGTGGGTAGTGAGGAATACCCCCTTGGACTGGTGGTCAGTGGTGGAGGCTCCCTTATGCTGGCAATGAGTGACAAGTGCCCCCTTTCATTGTTGGTCAGTCAGAAGTACCTTGTTCATTAGTGAAGTCTCCATTTTATTGGTGAAGAGTTCATCTTTTTGGTGGTAATATTAGTGGTGAGTTTCTACATTTGTTAGTGGTCAGCAGTAAATACACACTTAATATGCAGTATGTTCCCTTGTTCCTTAGTGGTCTGAGAAAGCTTAGTATTTAAAAGTCATCAGTGTTTAAAGCATATCTATGGTCAAAAACTAAAATCATATGTAGCAGTACCTCGTAGGAGACAGCAATTTTGTAGGTCCTAGGTCTTTTCCCATAACTGCCCCACAGCCAGGCACACATGCCCAGTCACAGTTTTTTGATGATTTAATAAAGATTGAACTTGGATAGGGATGGGAGATGGAAGAATACTCAAGTAACACCTAACAACAACTCAAGTACACTGAACTTGCTACCTTGAACACTGAGAGCAGTCCCTGTATAGCTAGTATCTGGATCTGCAATGACAGTATTGAGGAAGTTAAGCCTTCCTCAGTGAACAGTACAAGCAAAAGTCTCTTCACAAGGAATTAGATAGACTATGCTGTTCAGGACACATTTCTTAGCAACCACTCGGTTGACATTCTAACACAGAGGAGAGGTAGCAGCATCCTCCAGGATCTCTCATCCTTGTCTGTACTTACTTATGCTCCTGGGCAAATGGTTGCCTCCTACCAGTATCCTGCAGGCACTTCCTCCCAGTAGTATTAGATCCTCAGATGTCAGCCTTTCAGTCAGCTCTTCAGTAACCTTCAATAACTCCAGACCCTACAGCCTCCAAGCTGGGACTGTGATCTTTCCCTCTGGAAGAAGACCTTGCTGCTCTTAGTTCCAGGGTATTTATGCATTCTCCCAGAATCCTCTGGGCCCGGACTCCCAGGGAGTGGCTGGAGCTACATAAATTTTAAGCTGCTGATTAAAGTCTTCCTGCCTCTACTACCCAGAGCTCATCCAAGTGAACAGGGTGAAGCAAACAATTATGCAGCATCTGGAACACAAACCAGACCAAAACAATCAAATGCAGTTTCACTGGTTACAGTGAGCCAGAACTAAATTTACCTACACTAACACATATACAATAACCCAAACAATTTACAGTCCCACTGGATACAGTGGGCCAGACTAAATTTGCCTACCAGAACAAATTAGCTTCATTGACTACAGTGAGCCCAACTAAATTTACCTATCCTAGCGCCTAACTAGGAGGGTGCTACACTTATAATCATTTTCACATTGTATGTCAAATATTCCTAGAATACTCTTATTACTTTGAACAATCTTGAAGTTTGTAAACTTACTTTGTGAAGATCCCCACATATTTACTTCCTTGAATTCTGTGACACATATTTCCACATGTTGATAGACACTGCTGTGTTACAGAATTCAGAGAGCCTGCCTTCTGAAATACAGAGTCACTGAGATGAGGAATTTTAGTAAGGGAAGTCAGTACAAGAATCACTGCTTGGAAGCAGGAAGGTACCATGGGATATGTAGTCCTTAGGAATTGAAAGTAAACAGCAGAGAGAGAAGTTGCAAAGCATGCTGGGAACCCAGGAAGTTATAGAAAGAGATGAACAGCAGACAGACAGAACTTTTTAAGTAAGCTTATATTGGATTCTCAAAAATAACTATTGTTTGCATTGCTATTACAATGCTGATGTTATAAAATGTACATTAATTTTGTAATCATAGATTTCCTTTAACTCTTTTCTGCCTGTGTGAAAAATATTTTTCATTTCTTAATTTTCCATAAAATTATGACAAAAAATTACAACTTCAAAAAACTCGCCATGCTTCTTACCAAATACCTCAGACTGTCTACTTTTCAAAAAGTGGTCATTTGGGGGGTATTTGTACTGTCCTGGCATTTTTGGGCCTCAAGAAATAAGATGGGCAGTCTGTACATCAACATTTATCGATTTATAGGTATACTGTATACCATATTTGGTATATTGTGGACTCTATAACTTTCCTACCAACTAAATAATATACACTGATTTGGGTTATTTTCAACAAAGAAATGTAGCAAAATACATTTTGACCTAAATTTGTGCAGAAAAAATATTTATTTGCAAAATTGTATAACAGAAACAAAGAAAAACAGTTTTTTTTTCAAAATGTTTGGTCTTTCTTTATGTATAGCGTAAAAAATAAAAAAAAAACAGTGGGAATTAAATATCACCAAAAGAAATCTCTATTTGTGTGAAAAAAATGATAACAATTTCATATGGGTACAGTGTTGCATGACTGCGCAATTGTTATTCAAAATGCAACTGCGCCGAAAGTGAAGATTGGCCTGGGCAGGAAGAGGGTAAAAGTGCCCTGTGGGCAAGTGGTTACTAAAAGAAGCTGCATAGGTCTTGCACCATTGCCTCCTAAGTCTTCTCTAAAGGTTGCACAAGTACTCTACAGGCACCGTCCGCAAAAATTTTACTCCACCCTGTGTTTCCTGTTGTGTTGTTAACACTACTTAATTTAGGTCCACAGATGTGTCAATAGACTCAAAACACTGAGCAGGCGACCTAAGGCAGAAGCCCCAGATGCCTAGGTCAAGCAACTCCTAGGGGTTCTGATGAAATATGTGACTTTTTGACATGAGATGATATTCCCTGATAATGTCTGTGGTCTACTGAGGCTGTCTGGTTGTGCTCTCCCTCCCTGCCTCAATAGATATAAATATGCAAGTTCAGGCAATTCAATAATGCATGCTAATGGAAAAATCATTTTGAAAAGTTATCTTTTGGCAGTCTCTTTACATAAGTGCAGCCAGAAGGGAAACCAAGCTAGGACTCAAGTCTTTGCCTTAGATGCCTTTAAGCCTTCAACGAGGTACACATCTATTACTCAAAATAATTTCTGTTATAGAGAAGAATATTATTCCTAGTTTGTTTAACAAATTACATTACTATTAAAATCAGTAGAAAGGTCGTTGTTTCAGCCAGGACACTGAAGTCTGCTATACAAGTTTCCCTGGAATATATACTGCCCATGTCAAATAAAAGTGAATTAGAAAGACAAGACAAATTGCATTTTGTGGCTGTGCACTGTGCACTCCTGCCTACACTGGATTGTTTTTTCCTCTAATATGTGTAATGTATTATTATATAATACTTATAACAAAACATACATATTATAATACTTGCAGCAAATTCAATTAAACTGTTTATGTACACAGAGCAATAGTGGGGGGAAACAATAAGTCTGTGCGTTAATGAAGAATACTGTCAGAGTCATGGGGTTCAGGTACATGACATGTACTGTATGAGTAATCCAATCAGAGAAGTCTAGTCATGATCTGTATATATACAGATTGGTTAACTAACTTAACCTTTTCATCAACATTTGTCATAATCACCAACATTAACTGCAGTCTAAACATAACCTTTTTCAGTTTTTATAAAAAACAGTATATTCGGTGCACAGTAACAGAAATATTGTCATAGCAGGCATTATGGGGCCTGATGAGAATGATCATGGGCAGGTACTGTAGGTGAACAGAACATAAAAATTATACTGCCTTTTGTAGGTCTGCCCATAGGCAGAAGATTATAAAGCCTATGACTAGTGATGGGCTGAACACCCCCTTGTTCGATTCGAGGTCAAACATTCGAACCTAACGAAAGTTTGACCTCAAACTTCGAACCAGGACAATTCACTAAGCAGTATCTTATCGCATCTGAGTATGCAGTAAGATACCGCACAGCTAATAAAATTGCCCTCCTGAGGATTTACCCCCCTTCATGATAAGGCCATTTTCTGCGTTACGGCTCTGCGTTACTTTAACCACTTTCCCTTCTGAGGATTTACCCCCCTTCATGACCAGGCCATTTTTTGCGTTACGGCGCTGCATTACTTTAACCACTTGCCCTTCTGAGGATTTACCCCCCTTCATGACCAGGCCATTTTTTGCGTTACGGCGCTGCGTTACTTTAACCACTTGCCCTTCTGAGTATTTACCCCCCTTCATGACCAGGCCATTTTTTGCATTACGGCGCTGCGTTACTTTAACCACTTGCCCTTCTGAGGATTTACCCCCCTTCATGACCAGGCCATTTTTTGCATTACGGCGCTACGTTACTTTAACCACATGCCCTTCTGAGGATTTACCCCCCTTCATGACCAGGCCATTTTTTGCATTACAGAGCTGCGTTACTTTAACCACTTGCCCTTCTGAGGATTTACCCCCTAGTAATGGACGCGTTCAGCGACTTTTAGTGGGACTGTGGTGGATATTCTGACACTGGGGGGGAACAAACTGACATCTCCAGTGACACCAATACAGTGATCAGTGCTAAAAAAAAAGCATTGACACTGTACTAATGGCACTGGGTAGGAAGGGGTTAATGTGAGGGGCAATCAAAGGGTTAACTGTGTGTTGTGTGTGTTTTGCTAGGGGGCAGGGGGTGTTCTTCACTGTAAGCACACTGATCAGTGTGCTCGAGCTGACAGGGAGGAAGATTGTTTGTAAACAAAACAATCTTTCTCCCCATCGGCAATGCTCGGTAATCGCCAGGTGCCGGCCGGTAATTACCGGCCGGCACCTGGTAATTGACATCCACAGCCGTGAATGGCGGCGTGTGTAGGGTGCTCATGTGCGGTTCGCACGTGCCCCCTACCAGTGGTGGACTGACAACTCATGGGGCCCCCGGGCAATAGGGGATCATGGGGCCCCTGTGTCCTTGCCCAAACTCAAAAAATCCTCTGAAAAAGTACCAGGGACATCTCTTGGGGCCCCCTTCTGACCCCAGGCCCTCAGGCTATGCCCGAGTTTCCAAATGGTCAGTCCGCCCCTGCCCCCTACCCATAAATGCAAAATCACATATATATACAGGTGATCATCCTGTCCATACATGGTTCAAATCTCAGTTGGTCCCTGCTCAACTGATTCGAACCTATGGCTGACCTTATTTTCTATACAGGTGAAACTCAAAAAATTAGAATATCGTGCAAAAGTTCATTTATTTCAGTAATGCAACTTAAAAGGTGAAACTAATATGAGAGATAGACTCATTACATGCAAAGCAAGATAGTTCAAGCCGTGATTTGTCATAATTGTGATAATTATGGCTTACAGCTCATGAAAACCCCAAATCCACAATCTCAGAAAATTAGAATATTGTGAAAAGGTGCAATATTCTAGGCTCAAATTGTCCCACTCTAATCAGCTAATTAAGCCATAACACCTGCAAAGGGTTCCTGATCCCTTAAATGGTCTCTCAGTCTGCTTCAGTAGGAATCACAGTCATGGGAAAGACTGCTGACCTGACAGTTGTGCAGAAAACCATCATTGACACCCTCCATAAGGAGGGAAAGCCTCAAAAGGTAATTGCAAAAGAAGTTGGATGTTCCCAAAGTGCTGTATCAAAGCACATTAATAGAACGTTATGTGGAAGGGATAAGTGTGGAAGAAAAAGGTGCACAAGCAGCAGGGATGACCGCAGCCTGGAGAGGATTGTCAGGAAAAGGCCATTCAAAAGTGTTGGGGACTTTCACAAGGAGTGGACTGAGGCTGGAGTCAGTGCATCAAGAGCCACCACACACAGATGGATCCTGGACATGGGCTTCAAATGTTGTATTCCTCTTGTCAAGCCGCTCCTGAACAACAAACAACGTCAGAAGCGTCTTACCTGGGCTAAAGAAAAACAGACCTGGTCTGTTGCTCAGTGGTCCAAAATCCTCTTTTCTGATGAGAGCAACTTTTGCATCTCATTTGGAAACCAAGGACCCAGAGTATGAAGGAAGAATGGAGAGGCACACATTGCAAGATGCTTGAAGTCCAGTGTGAAGTTTCCACAGTCTGTGTTGATTTGGGGAGCCATGTCATCTGCTGGTGTTGGTCCACTGTGCTTCATTAAGTCCAGGGTCAATGCAGCCGTCTACCAGGAGATTTTGGAGCACTTCATGCTTCCTTCCACAGACGAGCTTTATGGGGATGCTGACTTCATTTTCCAGCAGGACTTGGCACCTGCCCACACTGCCAAAAGCACCAAAACCTGGTTCAATGACCGTGGGATTACTGTATTTGATTGGCCAGCAAACTCATCTGACCTGAACCCCATAGAGAATCTATGGGGCATTGCCAAGAGAAAGATGAGAGACATGAGACCAAACAATGCAGAAGAGCTGAAGGCCACTATTGAAGCATCCTGGTCTTCCAAAACACCTCAGCAGTGCCACAGGCTGATAGCTTCCATGCCACGCTGCATTGAGGCAGTAATTGCTGCAAAAGGGACCCAAACCAAGTACTGAGTACATATGCATGCTTATACTTTTCAGAGGTCTCGATATTGTTCTATGTACAATCCTTGTTTTATTGATTGCATGTAATATTCTAATTTTCTCAGATTGTGGATTTGGGGTTTTCATATAATCATCACAATTATGACAAATCACGACTTGAACTATCTTGCTTTGCATTTAATGAGTCTATCTCATATATTAGTTTCATCTTTTAAGTTGCATTACTGAAATAAATGAACTTTTGCACTTTTTTTTTCGAGTTTCACCTGTATGTGATTTTGCGCACAGGTGCCACCCTGTAGCAGTATATCTGCTATAGGGCGGTCCTTAAGCGGTTAACTGACAATCGTGCAGTCATGCAACGTTATACCCAAATTAAATTTATGTCCTTTTTTTCCCACGAATTGAGATTTATTTTGGTGGTATTTGATCGACTGTGCATTTTTATTTTTTGCGCTATAAAAAAAAGCCCGACAATTTTGAGGAAAACACAAATCCCAATATGTGTAGATTAAGTGGTTTTATGTGAAAGTTATCATTAGCATTTACAAATGGCAGTATGTATACTGGGATTTTTTTTTCTTTATTATTACTAGTAATGGCAGTGATCAGCGACTTATAGCGGCAGCATTCTGACACTGGGGGGAATTGACTTGGTGTCACTGACATCCCCAGTGACACCAGTACAGTGATCAGTGCTAAAAAAAAACACTGACACTGTACTAATGGCACTGGGCAGGAAGGGGTTAACTTGAGGGGCAATCAAAGGGTTAACTGTGGGCTGGATTTTACTGTGGGGCCATATGTTTGTGCTTCACTGTAAGCACACTGCTTTGTATGGCTGTGCTGTGCACGACCATGCAAAGCAATGTGCATGAGCTGACAGGGAGAACTGTTTTGTTTACAAACAGTTCTCCTCCCCATTTGAAATCCTTGGCAATCACCAGGCACTGGCGAGTAATCACCAGCTCAGGATTCGGTGATTGACAGCCGCGGTCCTCTACCCACAAAATGCAAAATCACATATTTATATGTGATTTTGCGCACCCATGCCACCCTGTAGCAGTATTTCTGCTATAGGGCATACGGGATGCTGTTAAGTCATGCAGTATTTTAGTAGTGAAAACATTCTTTAGGGTCCTTTTACGCTGGCGTTCCATTTTTTTTTCATCAGTTCAGTCACTTTTTTTCAAAGAAAAATGGATCAATGTAAGCAATGTAAGCAGTGCTGTTATAAATCAATCTCATTCATAACAGCTCTGCTTCTCTTCCTAGTGAGCTGTGATTGGCCCACAGCATTCACATGATACATGGGGCCACTCACAGCACCCTGTACTATGTGACCAGCTCCAGCCAATCACAAATCACTATCGAGCTGTCAAAAACTTAACTCATTGATGACAGTTCATGAATGAGTTAGATTCATGACAGCAAGCTTTGCATTGCAGGAGAAAGGATCTTTATCTCTCCTGCAAAGCAAAGTGTAAAAAAAAAAAAAATCCCTGATCACCCCCACAGTAGTACAATGTTACTATGGTAATATTGTACTATTCTGATAAAAGTATTTAAAAAAAAAATACTAAAAATGTTTAAAAAACATAATTAAAAAAAAAAAAACCGTATTGAGAATGCAAAAAAAAAAATTTAAGGGTATTTTTTTTTTAAACTATTTGCCAACCGTTTACCCACATTTTGGTGAGCAGCAGCTCTTGGCAAAGTGACGTAATCTTGCATCGCTTCCTGCTTTGGGGTATGAAAGCGCCCCCATCGGCCCCCCCAGTCAGTCCAGGGAGAGAAGAGAGAACATGGCATAGAGTAAAAGCACTACATTTTACACACACATGTTAGATTAGCATATTTAACCCTTTGATCACCCCGTCACCCAGCCAGTGCCATTAGTACAGTGTCAGCATATAGAATTTTTCACTGATCACTGTGTTCCTGCCACTAGCGACATCAGATAACGTCAGGGTCAGTAAGCGCCCCACCCAGCCAGCACTAGCGTTTAGGCCCTCCGCTGTTTTTCATGGAAGTTTTGTACCAATTGATTGTGGGCCAAGGCAATTTATATGCACAACAATACATGGCTGCCCACCCAAATTCAGCTCTTGCCAGAAAATTTGCATGGAAACCTATCACAGTTTCTGAATTTAAACTTTTTTGGGACTTACCATCAACATGGGCATTACAAAAAATAATGAATTGCAGTCATATTGGTCCACAGACCTGATTCATCGTACACCTGTGTTCTCTGCTGTTACATATATGCCCAACATGGACCAGCAATGTACTAGTACGTCACTGGAGTTTGAGTGGTTATACCGGGATGATGCCTGCAGCTACAGCCATCATCCTGGTATCGTTTTTTTCAGCTGGCGGTCAGCTTGCATTTAAAAACAATCCTGATGGCCAATTAGCTGCTGAATTGTTTTTACAAGCAGCTGGAAGGGACATTCCTCCCCCCCCCCCCCCCCCCCCCCGCTGCCTTCCACAGTTTTCTTAGGCTCTCCTGTCCCACTGGGGAATCCGAGAATGCAGCCGACAGATCCACTGGCTGACTATAGAGCTGATCAGAGACCAGAATGACTTCTATCATCTCTATAGTCTAAGAAAGCTACGAGCATTTCATCACTTCAGTTTTGCAGGATATTAAACAGCGCCATTTGTAAATTGGGAAAGCATCTGATCACACCGATCTTGGTGAAATTAGATAATGTAAGGGCAGAGGAGTTATATAGAGTCTGATAGACCCCAGATTTCTCAAAAAAAGAATATATGACATTGCCCATTGAAGTTTTAGGAGATATTTGCATTCCCTGTGACAGCATTAAAAGTGAAAAAAAAATTAAAGGGACAGTGTAAAAATAATTTAAAAAAATCAAAATAACGGCGCACAGGCTGTGACGATCCCACGATCGCTCGCTGCCACCAATATGTGACGATCCCACGATTGCTGCCACCAATATGTGACGATCGTGCGTCAGACCCCTGACCTTCTCACCAAACTCGTGACCAAAGGACTAGCCGATCTAAAACCGCGATGTCACGTTCGTAATAATGCCACACCCAGCTGCACCCTGCACAACGATTTTCCAGCTAATGGATCATAAACTATGTACCGGCAGCCTGGGAGTGATTGTCACTGGGTCAGGTTAAATACGCTATTAACCCTTCACACTGCCACCACCTCCTTTTTGTACAAAGAAAGAGGAAACTTGTCGATATCAGGTATAACACGATAATGGTTGAGATAATCGTCTGTATAACACAGTCGCCGCAGGCTGGTTATACAGAGGGTTAAACAAACACAGTAGCGCTCTTTTAGAGGCAGGAATTCATAAATTGCAATAAAGAGCTATAGAAACAGTTCAACGCTTTCAG